AATGCTGTGAATAAGGAGTTGGATCAAACCTTTACCTAAGTTTAACATCTTTCATCAATCCAGGAACAATTTGGTGATGATCTTTGGACTTTACAGCTTGAAGGAGCATTTTGTCATAAGGCAATATAAAAACCCCTGAGAACCTGTGATCAGTTCTCAAAAAGCAGGTGAAAAAAATGTCAGCAACCTGCGATCAACTCCAAAGTCTCAGATAAAAATAGGTCACCATCTGTCAGAGTTAGAAAAACGGTTCAGCTCTCGCTGTAAACTTTCATTTAAAACTTTAAATAATTAAAATGGCAAAACACAACATTTTCCTGCACTAAAAACATTAGATTTTATGATAAACGCTGAAATGAACAAGGTTGAAAGCAGCTTGACTGCTTTTAATGCAACTCTCCTGACTGCTGCTTCAAAAACGGGTCACGATTTCACCACCAATGTTTGTTATTGGTCTTCAGGTGGGAAATATAATTTTAAAACTTCACAAAAATAATTCAGTGGAGTGACGAGCAAAAAACACACCAGAGCAAAGACAAGAAGGAAAACTGTTTTAAATAATAAGCATTAAGCTGTCACTCGTCCGTTTGTCTCTCTGCTCCATATTAATAAACTAATAATAATCTTTCAAGGGAATTTCAGTTTTATTAAACATTGTCTGTGATTGTTTTTTAAAACATGATCAGTAAAGTTAATTAACAATGTGATGTTAGATAATAATACAGCATATTGGAATTTAATGAAATGCACAATTTAGTCCAGTTTATCCGGAGTGTGTAATTAAAGTTTTATCTGAAACAGGTTTGTAGGAATAAGTTGAATGCCTGGAACTCTGTGGAAATTGTGTTGCAGTTCGCAGAACGGCAGCCGGGCTTTTAAATGCTGATTTGATGTAAATGCGAGTCGTAGTAAAAGTCAGAACATAGACTGGTTCTTTAAATGTCAGCGAAGAAGGGAAGTATTGAAACACGACTTCTTATTTATCTTTCAAACTGAGATGGAAGCTCAGTGAAGGTGGAGCAGGAAGCGATGTGTCTGTGGACGGAAATAATCTGTTTAGTGTTTTATTCATAGCAGCAGGCATCACACATGAAGGTGCTTACAGGAGCGGTTTAAGTTTTTACGAGCCCTCCGTGTCGCTCATGTCCTCTCTCTGTCATCCATCCTGCTGTTTCGAACACTGTTTGTATCTCAGAATAGGATAACTTGTTTGTTTCCGATTAGAATCGTCTAATTGCTGCTCATTCATTGTGGCAGACCTGAAAAGGCTTTCCATGCACTTGAAAACCGCTGAAGCCGGATAATCCATTAAATGAAATGCAGAGCCTCAATTTGGCTGCAGAGTTCGGAGTGTTTGTCATTATTTCACACTGGTTCAGATGAGTGTTTGTTATATAAATGTTTTAGGTTCTGTGAATTGGGTAATTTAGCCCGAAGAGCAGCAGGGGGATGACGAACATGGCCCAGGAATCCTCCCTCTTTGGTTAGCACCTTGTTCTGAACTGCTGTGGTAAATACAAAGTGCACCTTTTTCTGTTGGTTTCTGCTGGTTTAACTTGGAAATTATCTGCTTTATTTGACCCAAGTTTTTCTCTAGCTAACAAAGAGGAAGACAAACTGGAGAAGCTGTGTGGAAAAGTACAGCCTAACTTTACGCTTTGCGTAGCCCGGTTGATTCGCTCCAAAAAAGTACATGGATAAACGTCTGCTTCACTTTTTTTTTCTTTTTTTTTTTTGCAACATTTCAAATTTTTGCTTAAAATTTGCATGATAATTGGATGGAAACATGACTATTATGTAAAAGCTTATTCGGTGGACCCTATTTCTGATTCATAAACATTATTATTTAATTCTTATTGATCACCCTCCTCCCCTACTTTGCCCTCCCTCATCCAGTCCTTCTTGACTTTGTTATATTATTTTAAATGTATTTTACTTTAGATATGTCTCATTGCTTGAATTTTGCTTGTGAACCAATTTTGTCCTGTCAGTTAATAATTGTGATGTTGTTACTAAAAAAACCAAAGAAAATTTTTCTGAAAAAAAAAAAAAAAAAAAAAACTTATTCAGTGGAAAACTTTTAAAACAGCTGGGTCAGATTATGCACAGTTCAGAGAAATTAAAAATGTCCATCTTAGACTTTACAGACCTTAATTAATGTTTGGACAATTAGAAAAAAATCATAACAACTATAGCTGATTTGGAAGAGTTGAAGGGGAAAAAACGTGTCGCATGAAGATTTACTGTAGGTTTACAAAGTTCCATCTGGATGAATCACAACAATTTTCACTCTCTGCTTTTCCATTTCACACACGAGGTTGGGCCTAAACAGTTTTAAAACCTGCTAAAGACCAGATCATTCATTTTGTGCTTATACATAAAACACCACTGAAGGAAGGCGCACTTTCTATTTCCCATGACTGTAAATCTTCAGCACACAGACTGAAATAAAATGCTAGAAGGAAATCCCCACAGTGTGCTGCTGCACACAGAGGAACCATTACTGCCTCCTCCCAACCCCTGGGTAGAGAGGATTTACTGTATATCTAACTAAAAATAGCCACAAGTGCCTGTATTATCAGTTTTGCTGATTGGGGCAGCCAATCATGTCAGCGGTGGTATTGCCACCCAAAGGGTCTTTCTTTAGAAAACTTTTGCTGGTAATGCAGCCATTGTCTCTTTTTTTAACACATGACATCCCTGCTCTGAAGATGAGGGGAAATGAGGACAAAGCAGTAAAAATAGGTCAAACTAGAGAAGAGCAGCAGGATTAATGCATCTTAACAAAGTAAGGGGATAACATCCTAAAAGCCTCACAACTTCGAGGCAAATAAGATGACTAGAAATATTATATGTTAGAGATGACATAAATGTGACCTAATGATAAGAAAGGGACTTTTAGGGTATTTTTAGTCTAGGAAACCTGTCAGAAACCCAACGCTGATAGAAATGACCACTGCAACTTTGATTCTCTTCTTGTTACTGCGATTTGTTTTGGTTTTCAGCCTCTTTCTTCTACCTTTTGACACTCAACCTGTCAGATGGAGGAGCAAATCGAATCGGAGTTAGTCATGCAGACTATTAGCTTGGAACCAGCAGATGGAGCCAAGCCTTTAGTCATATCCTTAAGACAGGCTTCAAAGCCGCTTGACTCACACCAGATGACAAGGTGTCATTTCCCTGCAGTCATTCTCCCACTGAATACTGTCGTTATGTGATAGGTATATAAATGATCTTTCTGTGCATTAAAAATAAGGGAGTGTTCTTTGATAAATCAGGATAATATATGTTTGATGCACTTATTAAATAATTAAGGCTAATTTAAGGCAATAAAAATGTCCAGTCTTCACGCAGCATTTTTTTTTTCTCTTTTTCATCCTTTTTCTTGAGGTTAATGTGCGCCAGCCAACAAACCTTTATAATCAGGGTCAATGCTAGTTTTTATTGCAGGTTTCATTCCTTTTCAGAAAGAAATGTAAAAAATACAAAGGTTGTTTCGCTTTAGCAATTTTTAAAAGCACATTTTTGATTCTGTTTTAGCCTTTTTTGGTGGAGATCTGTCAACCAATCAGTTTTCACCCACTTTACCACAAGTTGCCCAAATCATCCAGTTTTTTTGAGGCACGTCTTGTAAAATATTGTATTCATGTGAGCTGACTGATTTCCTGCCAAGTTTAGGTCTGGATTCTTAAATTATTTGAAAACTTGAATTTTCTAATAGCAAAGAAAATTTGCTGTAAGATTTGATTTTGATCTCAGAAACTGGAACTTTAATTAAAATGTCCAGACATTTGAGACATTTGAAGTTTCATTACGTTTTAGTTAGTGGTTTGGTATCAAAATTGAATTTAGCCAATGATATGACCCCCAACACTAATTATGTAGCCTGTTGGGAAAAAATAATTGTCTATACCTTCTTTAGGAGAAAACGTTTGTCCTGGTGCGTTGGAACAGAGAATATTTTAAGAACCCTTGTTTCATCTCAAGTGGATCAAAGTATTCTTAACTTAAGTAACATCACTGAAGTCACTGAAGGGCCTCTAAGCAACAAAGAGCACATAATAGTTGGAAAGTGTGGTAGAATATAATTTAGAAGGCATGATGGGAAACTTTTAGACGCTGCATTAACACAGTTCTGATTTTTCCATCCGTTGTATCAGTGAAATATGAATGTGACGGTGCTGCTCCTAATCTTGATCGTGCAATAACATGGAACTTTTCTAAAAATGAACTGAAGACATGTGATGTTAGACTTTGTATAAGAAGTTTGCACAACAATATACAGTGGCTTGCAAAAGTGCTAAATCTGCTTGAATGTTTTTTTTTACAAAAGAAAAATCTTAAATCTGTGCCTTGTATTTGGACTGTGCCTTTCTGAGTCAATACTTTGTTGCTGCAATCACAGTTTCAAATGTTTTGGCGCTGAACTCCAAGAGATTTACACTTTTAGAGACTGAATTTTTTTTGCTCCAGCTCAGTCAGATTGGACAGAGAGCATTTGTGACTTTTCCAGTTTTGCCACAGTTCCAATTGAATGTAGGTCTGCTTTTAAGAAAATATGTTGCAGTTTGTTTTTCTTACATGTGGTTTAACCTGTAAGAAAGCCCATGCAGGACAAACTGTTCCAACAGAAATCTTCATGGTCCACTGCTGCCCACTACAGGATCTCTGGTGGCACTGCAGGCCTTTTTACCAACTGGACATGTGCAGCAGTGTGATTTCTTTTATTAATAAACTGACTGTGTGCTTTCCCTCCTCATGTGTCCCATTTTTTCATTTGTCTGCATTTGATTGTGCACAACGTCTGACACAAACCACTTTGACCCTGCGCTCATCCGACATTTAAACCAAACCCCACCTGACCGCTGCGTCCCGCTCCTCACCTCTCCATCACTCATCTGTTCCGACATGTTCGCGCCACCTCGCTCGCCCTCCCTCTCCCTCTCCATCTGTTTGTCCCCGTCGCATCATCATCCTCCTCCTCCTCCGCCACACTCCAGAGTTTCCTCAGTAAGAGGTTGAAGGGCTCCATCAAGAGGGCTAAGAGTCAGCCGAAACTGGACCGAACGAGCAGTTTCCGCCAAATGATCCTCCCCCGCTTCCGCAGTGCCGACCAAGACAGGTCAGTGAGAGAGCGAGAGAGATGACGCGCAGGTGTGTGGATGTTCTGGATGTGTTTGACCACTGCTGTACACAGTCATACCCATGCATGACATTTTGTTTTTACCTGCTCCAGTCTTTTGAAGATGCTTAAAATAGTAACATTTGTTTCAGACAAAAAACATCCGGGTAAAACTTTTATCTCTTGCTTGGAGTCACATCAGGTCAGCAGATTTGGTCCTGAGATGAGTTTGCATTCAGAGGAATAACCAATCAGAGCAAGAAACTGTATCCCTTTTTTCAAGACTTTTACTGCCAGGCTCTAAAAGTAACAAAAACTTTCAGGGTTTTTTGTTGTTAAACAAAGATGAAGCCAAAATGGAAGCTGTGTGAAAAACCAAGCACACCCAGGAATCTTTTTCAGCGTCATTGTGGTGGAATATTGGCCAACTACTACGGTCCTACCACAGCATTTCAATCAGACTGGATGTGGACTTTGACTGGGCCATTTATCATTTTCAGATATTGTGTCCTGGATTTGCTGGAATGTGTTTTAACCCTGTTCATGGTCCAGTTTTGGGCCAGAAAGCTTTTCTGTTTTTCTTTAATCTTTGTTTAAAACATGCTTGCATAATTAAATTAAAATGAAATAAAAAAAAATATAGAACTTGTCCACTAAAGTGATTGAAGTTGAAATACTCCTAACTCAGTCATGTCCAAACATTTTGTCATTTGGTCCAAAATTATCCTGCCAAAAATATTTGGAGGTAAAAAGAGAAAAGAAATTAAAAATATTTAAATCACCAAAACTTACATTGTAAATTTTTCTACCTGCTTGACAACAACAAAGTAGTCATTTTGTCTCTTTAAAGGGCAAAGATGTGTACATTATTGTCGATTCAAAACTTTAAAAAAGTTTTGCATGTTTGCCTTATTTGAGACAAGCATTGCTTTCCAGTTTGTAAAATCTTCTGTGCTCAACTGGGAAAGAAAATGATCTATTTTCAGCTACAAGAACAGGATCAAGGTGGAACTTTGTTTGCTGCATTTAGCCAAGTTTGTGTAAAAAAATTGGTTTTGAGTAATTGTTGCTGGACAGATTAAAAGTAAAAAAAGTCCATCTGCATGGACTACCTGTGCTTTCCACCACTCTTAGTTGAAGTCAGGAGCCGCACAAAATTAGTATGAGGGCTGCAATATATATATATACATACACACACACACACACACACACACATATATATATATATATATATATATATATATATATATATATATATATATATATATATATACATACATACATACATATATATATACATATATATATATATAGAGAGAGAGAGAATCAGGTCTGAATGAGCCAATAATCATACCAGAAGTGTCGTCTTCTGGTATGAGAGAGCAGATGAGTCTGGTTGCATCTTCAATGAGAAAATAAATTCACTTTCCACTCTCACTTCAGTATCACTTTCAGCTGAAATCGTCACTGTTTCTCAGTCAGCGCGATGAAGGAACTCTCTCTCCATGGTAACCAGCAGTCAGCCATAATCCTGGCTGTACAGAAGGAAATGAGTTAGTGGGAGATTTGCTTAATTACACCTCCTCTGGATCCTGGACAGACCAACAGCAGAGCAAAGATTCCTCAGCAGCTCAGGGAACATGAATTTAAATCTGCTGGACTAGATGCCTCTCAATGACTACAGAGAAATAAGGTTGTTTTTTTTTGTTTTTATTTGATTTTAGATTTTTTTTTTTTCTACCGTAAACCATTTACATTCAGATGAGAAGCAGCCAGATAAAACTTTTTTTAAAGCTCAAAGTCTGTAAGTTGCTATATGATTCAATCGAACGCCAGATGATAATTTTACATTTGGAGTCAAACTTGAGGCCAGAAGTGAACTCATCTGAGAGCTCCAGCTGTGAGACCAGGATCTGCCAAGACACTTTTCAGCTTGATTTATTCCCCCAGAAGGCCACTGAGGGGACAAAACGGACAAATTCTTGGTAAAATGAGCTTCTTGCCATAATGTTTATTTCAAAAATCCATTTTCACAACTTCTGGACTTCTTTCTTCATTATTATTCAATGTTTTATTCTGAATTACCAGGGGAGGATTTGCGTTTTTTTGTTTTGGGTTACATTCTTGGCCCTGAGGTCCAAAACAGTGACTTTTGTGAAGACTTTTTGAAGTTGTTTTTTTATTTATTCATTTTGCTTTTTGAGGTCTGACCACTGATTCTCAGACGGATTAATATCTGGAAAGTTCTTAACTTTGACCCACTTTTTGTTCTGAAGTTTTCTTTGTGATAGTTTTCTTTCAGCGGCAATATTCCCAGCAGCAACTTCTTGTACATTCGGCCAGTTTAATCCAAAATGTTGACACCCTGTCTGCGTTGATGAAGACTGTAGGAAACTGTTTGCTTGGCCCCTATTCACCTATTTTCTGAATATACTTTACTGAATAATTATTTGACAACTTGCAGGACCCAAACACTGTTTATGAATCGATATGTACTTTCCTCTACACTTCACAGCAGTACTTCATAAGGGTAAACCAGGTGTGCTGTGGTGGCGCAGGGGTTAAGCACAACCCACATATGAAGGCTCTAGTTTTCAAAGCGGCTGTCGTGGGTTTGCTTCCCGGTCTTCCTCTTCTCTCATTACCCACTTTTTTTGTCAATTTAAATAAAAGCCACTAGAGCGATTAAAACATTTCGCCCTCCAGAAACTAATGACAATCAATAATCCCCAAATTCATTTTAAAAGACATTAGATGACACGTTAGCTAGTTTGCCATTTGTTGCCAAGTGACTGATGATGACGTTGGTGACAAGCTTTACCCAGAATGCACCTGGAGACAATAAGGACAATTCATTTGTAGTTTTGTGTGTCATAAGAGTGAAAATAAAACCAGTCATGTGGCACAACATTTTATTCAATATTTTACACTCACTATGTCACTAAAATCAGTCAGTCTGGTAAGGTTTTTAGCAACCATGAGTCAATAATGGGGCACCCTACTATATAACCTACTGGGGTATCATACATAGTTTTTGACAGGAGCCAGGAGGCTCTCCTTTACATTTCTCATCAGGTGTTATAAAGAAAGCTTTGATCCCTGAAGGCATGTTCTGCCTCCATGTGGGCCCCCTGTAGGTCCAGGGCAGGGACCTGCTCCTTCCCTGATGTGATGTCACAAATATGTTACAATTGTGGGAGGAACTGTTTGATGTTGATTTCTAAATTAACACCAGACTGAGTTAATTTAGAAATCAACACTGGACTGGATTGCTTTTTGTTTAACTCTTTGGAACTCTTTAGTGAGTGTTAGAGAAACTAATATAACTAAAAAAAATAGAAACACTCATGTTGTTGAATTAACACTGTATTTTTAACATACAACACTTGCACTGGAAATCTGACACTTCCGAATTTGCTGTGTGAAGTCAATCTTATCCCTCAATCTTATCCACATTAGCAAATTTCGTTTTGCATTTGGCCAACACTTCAGACACTCAGACAAAAGTTACATGTCCTTAATTCATGAAACTAAACTTGCAGAATATTTGAGTTGGTATTTGTTGTGGTAATCATGTTGTGTTGTCTTCTTGCTTGCTGAGTTTTGCTCCACCTGATCTGACGTTTTGCAGGTATTTGAAGACATATTCTCTGTTTTGAAGTGTTTCTGCTGAGAACTGGCTCAGTCCTCCATTTTTCCTCCAGCTCTCCTGCTGTCTCCCCAATCCCTTCATGCTCCCCAGTCTGCACGCATCCTCCTCTTCACTCTTCTTCCTTTCAGACTCTCCATACTCTCACATCTTCCTCTCTGAAGAATCCAGTGTTTACATAATGAACTTAATTTCCACTGAGAGGTCGTCTTTACCCTCAACCCCCCCCATCCTCTCTCACATTTTGTCATGACTTCCTCCAGTCTTTCTCTGCTCTCTCTGTCCTCCCTTCAATCTGACTCATTCTTTTAGGTCTATTTTTATCTCTCCCTCTCTCCATGAGCCTCTCTCTCTCCCTGGTTCCCTGTGCGATCAGTGCTCTGGTGATGAACGTTATGATTGGGTTTAGGCACAGGCAATCGTGGGAAAAGTGAGCGCAGAGCCGAGGATTTAGGTTTTCTTCATCTCCATCCTTGTTCTTTTTTCTTCTTCTCTGGGGGTTTCCTTGTTCCTGACCAGCGCTCCTCACTCTCTGGTTAGATTTATCGTGTCATCATTTATCTGTCGTAATGGATATATGACTATCAGCTGCTTCTGTGTGTGCATGTGTGCACTATAGTAAAGGTGAGCATGATGAGCAGTGGTGAGTGTTTGTTACTGTGGAATGTTGCATAAATATGTCAGAGGACTGATTTTCTTTCTTAGAAATCATTTTAATGTACATTCTCTCTAGAGCATAAAAAACTGTAGAAGAAAAATAAAAATATCTACGAGAAAGTTACGGCATAACATAAAGTAACAGCATGAGAGTGTATTTTCTGCAGGATGTTCTTTGAATTTAGCTAGTAAAGCTAATCACTGGACCTTGTTTCTTTCTGGACAGCCTGCCTGGTAAAGCAGATTTTCACTTCATAAACCCCATTTTGGTTATGATCTATGCATTATCTTAAAGCAGCTGTGCAAGGAAAGCAGCAAATGCACGAGTGGTAAAAAGTTGTTCTCAGTCATATGACACAATATTTATGGCACAAGTCCATTTTCATAACTTCTGGAGTTCTTTTTTCATTATGATTCAATGTTTTATTTTGAATTATGAAGAGAGGATTTAAATTTTTTGTTATGCATTCGTTTTTCAAAGAAATGAATCCATCCTTTTTTTGGAGTTAAGGAAAACAACACGGATGCGTAGCTAATTAAATAAAATGATCATCATTAGTGTGAGCACTGCAGTAAAAGCAGGAGCTTTGGTGTTTTGCTGCTCTAAAACCTAGTAGAGTGAGTCATTTTCAAACTATTTGAAGTTCTTGGTTGTACTAGAAGAATGATTATTCATATGTGGAAAACATTTTCATTGATTCTTAGGAATATCCCAGCATATTTAAAACAAAATAACCAAAAGCTTCATGCAGACTCCACATGGCTCAGTTAGCATGTAAAATTATAAAGTTAAAGACAAAAGACTGAGGAAGTGTAGCCTGTTTCCATCTTCTCTCTAAAACAAATGTGGCAGAACTACTTACATTTTTCAAACGTGCATCTGAAAGAACTATAAAATTTCTGGAATTATGTCCTGGGTTCAAGTAGGGATGTTTTGATGTAATGCACAGTACGATGATTAAAAAAAAATCTATCAGCATATCAGCTCAAACACCTGATGCCAGCTGTGAGGCCTGGTGGTAGAAATAATGATTTAGGATAGTGGCATAGCCACAGAATCTCAGCGTCCTGCAGTTATTGAGAAGATCATGAAATCTTCTGAATACCAAAATATTCTAAACTTAAATGTGAGACCAAACAGGACATGTACAATAGAAAGGCTGAAAAAGACCCAACCTGGTTGAAATGTGGTGGAAGGAAAATGATCTGAGCAGAAACAAATGTTTGCAAAACAAATTTCTTTAGAAATGTGAGAGAATGAAACAACTACTAAGGTGTTTCTGATAAAGTTGATTATACAAGCTGTTTTACAAGCTGTTAAATCATATTGTTGTCATATTATTATTGTTTTTTAAACACAAAACAGCCATGTTGCATTTCATTGCCAGAAACGTCGCACTTTGCACGTCAAAGTTTTGACTTCAGGAAACCTTTTAATGTGATTTCATCCAAACCGGAGCTAAAAAAATGATTAGAAAGAATAGAAATGGGATACCACTGAAGAACTTTTCTTTAAAAATGCATTTTAAAGTCTGATTAAGAATCCTTTGAGGCCTGTTTATTTTTAAATTAGATTTACATTTCTCTCCAAAAGAAAAACTCTTATAGTATAGATACTAAATAAAAAATTCAAGTCAATTAAGTTTATTTTCTATCTTGTCATCTCAAGGCAAATAATTTATTGTGTTAGGCTTATTTATAGTTTTTTTTTAATCTCAATCTCTTAATGCAGTTTAAGATTATAATACATAAATTATTCAAACTGGTTTAAATTAAACATGATTCTAGTTTCGTCTGCACTTATCCTGTGCTACATTGCATTGATAGTCAAATAAATTTTTATTTATATATATTTTATTTCCAAGATAAAGGGAACTTCTGCGACTTTAATATTAATAAGTGTTGCTGAATTGAATTTAATATGAATGAAAAATAACATGAAAGCATGTTAGAATCTGAAGAGCTGTTACATTATCACCCTCATTCACATCCCATCCAGTTTGAAATGCAGAAGTATGTAAATGTGTTTGGTTTAAAAGGAATATCTGCATGTGCTACCTCCAGTCCTAATGGATTATTTGGAAAATTATGAGCTGGTTTCCATCTATCAACTGGTTCTGTGGTTCTTTGATTCAAAAACAGTAAGATAAAAAGAATGAAATGTGTTTTTAATGTTAGAATTAGCATATAGATGCTGACATGAAGGGCCAAACCGTGATGAAATGACCTCCTCCCCTTCTTCCCGCTCTGCTCCCACATCTGACTGACTATCTGTCTCCCAGGACCCGTTTGATGCAGAGCTTCAAAGAGTCCCACTCCCATGAGTCCCTGCTGTCTCCCAGCAGCGCTGCCGAGGCGCTGGACCTCACACTGGACGAGGACGCCATCATCAAACCCGTCCACTCCAGCATCCTGGGACAGGAGTACTGTTTTGAGGTGAGAGCTGAGTTGCACGATGGTCGAGCAATGGCACACGCCCACTTTTAGTGCTGGGAAACAGAATCTGACAAAAAACAAAATAAGAGTCTGATGATCAAGGTTATAAAATTTGCATTGGTTTTGTAAAGTTTTCCATCACTTTTTATTAGTGGAAACTGATAAAAGTCGAGGTTGAGACATTGTTTTGGCGCCTTAGTTGCTGTCTCCATAGTGACTGATGGCTGTGGTACCATTGGCTATAACCTCAGGTGACAACGGCTTCAGGAACCAAGTGCTTTGCGTGTCGCTCAGCCGCAGAGAGAGACAAATGGATCGAGAACCTGCAGAGAGCTGTCAAGCCCAACAAGGTGAGGGGAGAGAAAGGGATGCGGATGATCCCTGTGTCTGTTTGTCTCTCTCTCTCCTCCCCGTCTCCTGTTGTTGTTTGTTTTCCAATAAGAGCGCACCGCTTCATTTCTCTGTGTGAACTCCATCCCCATGTCTGTGTGTGTCTGTGTCGAGCAATTTAGTGGCGTCTGCAAGCAAAGTGTTAAAGCCTCACGGGGGTAATGTTTCAGGGCGGAGGGTCCCGGTTGCTGTTTTTGAAAAACCACTAATCGGGTAATGTGATTTGGGTAAATTGTGCGCAGCAGGTCGATGTGCACCAGCTCAGCATGTCTGTGAAAGCTGATGCTCGCTGATACTGAGCAGCTGAGAGGAGCGAAAACAAGCCAACATGACTGACTCCAGGAGTTTCTCACGGCTCTATGGGCCTCATGAATGAACCGGCGCAGTCGAAAGCTTTCCTGACGGGGATCTTCACCTGGCTAAGTGGTGCTAGCTTCTTGAGGACAAGTTGATTGCACAGCACTGCAAAAATCTTACTTGGGAAAATATTACCCAGTAATTTTGATGTAGTTCCTAGAGCAAATATCTCAGTACACTTGAAATAAGACAAAACTAACTTACAAGTAACTTTTCAGCAAGATTTGGGAGCTTTTAAAGTCAGCAATTCCTTGCTGATTATTTCACTGGGAAAACTGTCTTGTAGTGAAATAATCTAACTAATTGGTATTGATTAAAAACTGATATTTTTCATCATTATCAAGGGATTATTGCCCCTAAACGGACGCACACTTATAAAATGATTAAACAGCCATTTGTAGAACTCTTATATTAGCATTTTTCTCTGCTAAAAATAGTGAAAAACATTTTTGTTGGAGTCCAATAGAAAGGAAAAATCCAGTTCTCTCATAAATCAGGATTTTACTGATCTGAGGATGACAGGGTAGAGTATAGGTGAGTGATTTCCTCTGTAGTATGTAGTTTATTTTCATTGTCATATTTTAAATTGAATTGTTTGTGTTTTATGCATTAAGCAGCCAATAAGTGCACTATTAGTTGTTTTTTGTTTGTTTTTGGAGGTTTTTTTGCTTCTAAACGATGTGATTTTGTGCTTTGGTTCTGAGTTTTGTTAAAAATTCGACTCAGATGAATCTCAGCAGAAACATCAGCAGACCTGTTGTGTCCTGATTGTTGCTCAGCTGACATGCTGCTCTGTGTTTCTCCTCATATGGAGCTGGTCGCTGGGATTCTTCAGGATGGATTTTTATTACCAGGTGTGGTCGGTCTGGACCAGCTGGGGCAAATTTAATTCTGAATCTCAGCAGGATTTGGGAACATAAAACCACCTGCTGCTCCAGAGTCAAATATCTAATCTTTTAACATTTTATGAAAGAAACTGATTCATCTGAATCTTTAGGGATCTTATTGTCAGCAGTCTGTCACAAAAGTCAAGTTGTTTCAATTTCTTGCATTGAATTTGTGAAAAACCTCAAAGATAAAGCAGTCTAACGGAGAGAAAACCAGATTTCAGCTCCAGCAAGGTGACCTCCAGAGAAATCTCAGCTGAAAACTGACAGTAGGGTGATGCATCTGATGCAAGGACTTTTTTCAGTAGTTTGTCTGCAGGTGGTGAGGGAGAAAGCAGCCAAAGTCCAAAGAAAACCTGAAAAGCATGTAGCAAAACTTGGTCATGACCACTTTCAAGAGATGACAGCAAAGTCTTTGAAACAAAATGTTTTTTTGTTGTTGTTGGGGTTTTTTTTCCATGGAATTAGAGTTTAAAACCTTTTTACAATACAATACTGTAGAACATAAGCAGTGTTTTCTGCTGAGGAAATAAATCAAGCTGATTTGGTGGATTAAACAATATTACTGAGTGTTTTTGTTTTCTGAGTATAAGGGACCCTGATATTTCCTTTCAGTTTGACAGATATTTAAATACTCTGATGCGACTTCAGACTCTGGAGAACAATTGTGATTTTTACTTTATCCCCCTTAATCAGGACGTGTTAGATCTAATCCTGAAATCTCCAAAGTGTGCACCTCAGCAGCTGCTAAACTGGATCAAACATCAAATCATAGCAAAATACTTAGTCATTGTTCTGAACACAAACTGCATATTTTTGCAGCACTGACGTGAAATGGTCCCCGTGTAGTGAGATCATATTTTCATCCTCACATCTTTAATTGAACTAATCTCAGCTCCAAGTAATCAATAATTTCCCTGCGGATCTGATAGTTGTGCGAAATCGTCCTGTGCTTCCTCTTGTCGGTTATTAAAAGTGAGCAGACACGTGAGACATGCGGCTTTGATAGCATCCTGGGACTGGAGACAAATTAAAGCCGTCTGAGATGAAACATCACGCGAGCTGGATGCTCTCTGTCCAGATGCTCGTGCCGCAGGGGTCCTGGCTGAGTCACGGCGCTCTGAGGATCCCTAACGGATGTTTTCACAGATAAATCTCTCCCCTCCTACGCCTGAACATTAGGACTCGTATCTCAGGCCAGACGTACCAGGAGAGCGAAGGATTGCCATCATTGTTTTTAACGTACCTGACTTTGATTCACTTTGGAAGTCCTTTTTTCTTTTAAGCAGCCATGTTTTAGTAGTCACATCTGAGATATAAGAGCAAGACGGAAGCCATGTGAGCATTTCAAGGCTGAGAACCCGCTCCCATACTGGTTTCACTGCTCTGGCAAACTGAGACACCAGATGCCCAAAAACATTCAAAGTCATGGGTTTGGAAATAATGATGCCTCTCGTTTGACACCAGAGATAAAAGAGGACAAAACCCGTTGGTTGTGAAGATCACGGCATGTCGGGTTTAAAATGAGATGCTGAATAGTATGAGGCTAACGACAGCGATTCAGCAACCAGCAGGCCCCTCTCTCCTGCAGCAGGAGTTGTCAAATATAAAACACGCTTTGTGATTATGATAAGAACTCACCACAGAAGCATAATTACCATTGTTTGTGTCTTTGTTGCACAGATGAAATGCAGGATTTTTATTTTTTTATTTTTCATCATTTGTCTTTTGTGTGTCTACCATGCAGTTTAATGCCTCTGTGCGATGAATTTAAAGCTGCTTTTCAACTTCAAGACAAATCCGTCATTTCTCTCCTCTGCAGGATGACCTGCTGCTGCCCATTATTCACCCTCTCCGTCTCCTCTTCTCTGTCCTTGACGTGTTTTGTTGCATTTTCGTATCTTTCTCCCGACATTGTGTCGTCTCTCTGCAAAGATGTTTTAAAAGCCTGGTTTTAAGTGCTGTAAACTGTGTTTGAGCTGGTTTCATCTTCATGCAGGACAACAGCCGGAGGGTGGACAATGTGCTGAAACTGTGGATAATTGAAGCCCGCGAGCTCCCGGCTAAGAAGCGCTACTACTGCGAGCTGTGCCTGGACGACATGCTGTACGCCCGCACCACCAGCAAGCCCCGCACCGACACCGTCTTCTGGGGAGAGCACTTTGAGTTCAATAACCTGCCGGCCGTCCGCAACCTTCGCCTTCATCTGTACAAGGAGACGGACAAGAAGAGACGGAAGGTGACCCTCCGATCCTAGCAGGGCGGAGGACAATTTAGTTTGCAAACTAAATATTTTTACTAATTTTACAAAAAAATTATAATAGATTTATGTGTTTTTAATAAAGGTAATGATAATAATAATTTAAATACACATAAAATATTTATTTAGCAGGATAAATAAGTTAGATGTTTAGCTTTACACTAAATATTTTGCTCCAAACTAAATATTTAGTTTGCGAGCTCTAAATTAAGTTAGCAAACTAAATGTTTAAATTCAAAGCAAATGTTCCGTTAAACTAAAATGTTAGCTAAATATTTAGCTTCAATGAAAAAAATTAGTTCCAAACTAAATATTTAGCCTGAAGCTAAACTTGCTTATCATATATTTAGTTCCTGAACTAAATATTTGATTTGCTAGCTAAATATTTGTCTTGAAAATATTTTGAAGCTAGATATTTATCTTCAAATATTTATACTAAATATGTAGACAGCAAGCTAGGCTAAATAATCGCCTTGCAGAATAAGTATTTATCTTCGAACTAAATATGTAGTTTAAATCAGCAGACCGATTTAACCAATTTGGAGCTAAATATTTGGCTTGCTGGCTGAATATTTAGCTTCAATCTAAATTTTTATTTGGAAACTAATTATTAAGTATTTACTTTCAATGTTTAATATTTAGTTTGAAGCTAAGTATTTAATTTGTGAACTAATTATTTATAAATGATTATAATTGGGCTAAATAACCTAAATTATTGCTGTTATTTATTTACTGTGTAACTTCACAAACTCCATCACAAACAGAACTACTATTAAACACCAGGCAGCAAAATGCAAAAGTAAAAATCCCAGTCAGTTTTGTGAGTTTGCAAATATCCTGAGTTAGATTTTATAGTTATAAGTTACAATCACAATTATTTTCCAGTTTGGTGTTTATTTTTTTCCTTCATCTCTATGGATACAGTTTACATGCTTATGAGTATCTTTTCTGTGTATCTTGAAGGAAAAGAGCACATACTTAGGATTGGTCAGCATCCCCATCTCGAGCATCACCGGGCGGCAGTTTGTGGAGCAATGGTACCCAGTCATCCAGCCCAGCGTTCTCACAAAGGGAGCCGGCGTCGGAGGAGGGAAAATTATCAACGCCTCGCTTCGCCTCAAATCCCGCTTCCAAACCATGAACATCCTGCCCATGGAGCTGTACAAGGAGTTCGCCGAGTACGTCACCAACAACTACCGCACCCTGTGCGCCGTGCTGGAGCCCGTGCTGAGCGTGAAGAGTAAAGAGGAAGTGGCCTGTGCTTTGGTGCATATCCTGCAAAGCACAGGGAAGGCGAAGGTAAGGGCCACCGCTGTTTGCAGAAAGCTCAGAATCAGATTGAGGAGCAACGGTTGACTGCAGTCCTCCTGTGTCTGCAGGACTTCCTGTCTGACATGGCCATGTGTGAGGTAGACAGATTTATCGACCGAGAACACCTTATATTCAGAGAGAACACTCTGGCCACCAAAGCCATAGAAGAGTACCTCAAACTGATCGGACATAAGTACCTCAAGGATGCTATCGGTGAGTCGACTCAGCCGTATCTTTCATTTTCCAAATCATAACTGAAAAATAATCTTTCAGTGCTCTTTGCTCACATCAGATCAGCTAAAACTTGTTTCTTGGTTTAATTTTTATAGCCATAAAAATAAAAACCACAGGAAATATCTGTCAGTATTACTGAGGGAAAATGAATCATTTTCAATCTGAATAGAATAGTATGAAATTACTTTTTTTCTTCCTTTCAAGTCATTCAGGTTTATCCGAATTTTATTCATATTTTGGACATTGCAAATAAAACTTACTTTTTACCTAAGATTAAAAAAAATGTTTGTTATTAGACTTGATGAACAATAAGTTTCTTTGTGTAAAGAGGAAACATTCAGTAATAAGAAAAACAAAAAATAAAATCAGCAAAAGTCAAAAATAATTCCTAAATATATGAAACCCAAAATTTCAAAATAAAGTCAAAGATTTTTTTGAGAGGTTTCTTATTTCATTTTTAGTTCTGATAACCAGAAACCTTCACTATTTGCCTAACACGTTTGATGTTTAATAACATGAAGCAGGTTTGAGAAGATAGAAAAATTTAGGCTACATTCAAAAAGCAGGTCTTCCAAAGTTTGTGCTGAAATCAGATTTTATTTTAATTTTCTTTTTTTTGCATGGTCTTTCATATTACTAATTAGACTTTTGAGTGAAGTGAATGGTTTACATCTCCAAAGCAACTCGCATGCGCAAAAGAAATATTGGGCGCAGAAGAAATAGAGTGCCGTAAAAATGTCGTACATGGGTAGAAAAAAAAAAGCAGATTTGGGTCACATTTGCTTGCTGTGTGAAAGCAGCTTAAATTTCCCAGAATCATGGGAAATGACTAATAAAACAACAAAAGAAGAGCAAATAAATCTAAAAGAACTGAGGTGGAAAATCCAAGTATTATTGTTGTTTTTGAGGCCAGATCATCCCTGACAGCAGCAAAGTTCAGGCCTTCTGCCCTCTGAACAACCATAATGCGTCTTATGTCTTCCTGAATTATTCTGTGATCGTTTTCTAATTTTTAAAGTTAAGCTGTTTAGAGAAAGCTCTGGCAGCATGAGCACAGTTCAATCTGGAGAGACTCAAACGGAGAAAGAAGGCGATTAAAAGAGTTTAATGACAAAATAAACATGAAAATAAAAAGTCCTTTGGCGTTCAGGCCCCGGCCGGGGACATCGAGCTGGACTTCGATGAGCTCGATGAACATTCCTGATGCAGCATAGGAATGTAGACCCCCGGGGCCTGTACTGGTGGCGGCGGTCGGAGGAAGATGAGGCCTGAGAGCCGGGAGCAGAAGGTGGAGATGGGGTGGAGGTGGGTTGATCGCAGCTGGTGAGCAGAGGAGGCTATGGGTGAAGGTCCTTTTGAACTGAAGCCCAAACGATGATTGGCTGGAGCGAGGCTTGGTCCGCGCCGATAGGTCCAGGTTGCAGAGAGGCGGGCGCTGATTGATGAGGCAGGTGCGACTAGAGTCTTCCAGACTGAACTTCAGTCAAGACTCCATTTCTCCTGCTAAACCACAAATCTGTTCATCTCTCCCAAACATCAGGAGCATAAACTGATTTGATGAGTAAATCTGATTCATGGGCAGGCATAATTTCTGCCTCAGTTGAATCATGTCATACATAATAAGTAGATTTTCCCCAAGCGTGGTTTATGCAAAGAACTGTGACCTCGGCATTTAACCCATGGATAAACTGGAAAACCACACGCTCAACCCGACGGGTAACAAACCAGGAACAGCTGCAGCGTTGGGGAACGTTGAGTAAAACACCTCATTTACATCCACATGGTTAATATACAGCTTAATACACATGTTAGCCAAACCCAGATGTAAGATCTAAATCAGGTTGACTCTGTGCCTAATGGTGAACTGTGTCTGTTTAGTGTCAGTCATAATCTTGACACTAACATTTTTACAGTTCTTAGCTGGTTGGTGTTGCTTTTATTTTCAGCATTAAAGAGTATTTGCTATTCAGCGTTAAAGTTAAAATGATTGATCAATACTTCTTGAAACAGAAAAGAAAAACAAGCATTTTACTTTTCCAAAGGGTTGAGTTGCAGAAATGTTTAATTTCTGATTTATTTTCTGTAACACTTGAGCACTGGTTGATGCTGTTATTTAAAATAATAACTCTGGACTTGTTACAAATTAAATGTCATCTCCAGGGGAGTTCATAAGGGCCTTGTATGAGTCAGAGGAAAATTGCGAAGTGGACCCTATGAGAATACCACCCTCTGTGCTACCAGACCACCAAGCCAATCTTCGAATGTGCTGCGAACTGGCTCTCTGCAAAATCGTTAATTCCCATTGGTAAGCTCCTAATTACTGCAGAAATAAACAAAGTTATTTATAAAGGTTGATGGGCCTGCAGATTTACTTTCCCCTCGCGAGCCGAGGAAGCTGCCATGATGTTGCTGTCTAATTCTGAGATGCACGTTGTGTCCTCACAGTGTTTTCCCCCGTGAGCTAAAGGAGGTTTTTGCGTCCTGGCGAGTGCGTTGTGCCGAGAGGGGTCGGGAAGACATCGCTGACCGCCTCATCAGCGGATCGCTCTTCCTGCGCTTCCTGTGTCCCGCCATCATGTCCCCGTCACTTTTCAATCTCACCCAGGAGTATCCCGACGAGCAGACGTCACGCACCCTCACTCTTATCGCTAAAGTAGTGCAAAACCTCGCAAACTTCTCCAAGTCAGTACTACTTCAGTTTCTAAAGAAAATGTGAACTTGTATTTACCTAAATCTTGTCATAGATATTATTTGATATGTAATAGATACACACCTATACATTTATTATAATGAATAATTAGGAAATTATGTTTTTATACCTGATGTTTGGCCTTGAAACTCACAACCCTGAGTTCGGACTAGGCTTGTCATGATAATAAGTTTTTCTACATTAAATTGTCCCAGTAATTATTGCGATAAACATTAATGTTGTCATTTTGGAGAACATTTTCACGTAATAAATTGATAATGATGTATTAATCAAAGTTCACCCTCTCAAAGATCAATAAACTTTTGCAAAGAACACACACTGCAACTGGAAGAAATTTTAATTATCCAAAATAAAACACAACAACCAAAACCAATAAATAAAACGGAAATAAAAACCACACACAAGCAAAGCCATAAAAAATGGATTATGAAGTATTTGTAAACAAAATTGCCTTTCAAATAATATTCATCATCAGAATGGAAATTATTGAGCTCATTTTAATTGATCATATGATTAACTTCTTACTGCAACAAGCAAGGGGAGTCCTGACTTAGAATTAAACAAACTAAATTTATTTTGTATAATTATTCTTTGCTGTGCTCTCCAAAGTTAGCCTTCTTTTAATTAAGTTAAATTATTTCACCTAACATTGAGTATAAACTCATATTTTAATTCTTATATGACATGTCAGAAGAATTCAGAAGATTACATCCAAGAAATTATGAGACAAAGAAAAAGAAGCTAAAATCCAGTTTTACATCATTTATTCATTAAATCTTGTTTGATTTCACTCCTCCTTCTTCTCTGGCTTCTGTTTCTGCTCCTGCAGGTTTGGCAGTAAGGAGGAGTACATGTGTTTCATGAATGAGTTTTTAGAGATGGAGTGGGGCTCCATGCAGCAGTTCCTGTACGAGATCTCCAACCTGGACAGCGTCAGCAACGCAGGCGGCTTTGAGGGATACATCGATCTGGGCAGGGAGCTGTCCATCCTGCACAGCCTCCTGTGGGAGGTTATGGCTCAGCTCAGCAAGGTGAAACCAGATCAGTTCTACCAATGTAAACTGAAGTTTATATCTCAAACATCAAGCTCTTACGTTTTCAGAGCAGGATTGTATTCCTTTGAAGTATTTGCGCTCAAAGCGTCTGCTGTCTTTCAAATACAGTCTGGACTTTTATTATAATCTATTCAGGGAGCTAAAAAACCTTCCTGGAACTCAAAAATATACATTTATGTAAAATTAAATACCTCAAACCTGACATTTATGATTGAATATTAACTATTGAAGGAAAAATATCAATCCTGTTTAGTTTATATGCAGGTGACACAGACTCACTCCTTTTAATAAACAATTGTTTGCAGTAGAAGTTAATTGGGGATTTATGTTATTTCTATACTGCTACATTGTTTTTTGTTGTGGTTAGTTAATAAAAAGACTTTTATTTGCCTAATGTTTTTGTCCGGTGTCTTACCAAAACCATAATCAACTAGCTGAAACTGAATCACCAAATTATTCAACTATTGGTATTGGCGATACTGGTCCTGTATTTACTTGGTAAACTTCCCAGTTTTGCCACAAAACATGGATAAATGGATTTCCGTCCCACATCATTACTTTCAACCTAAAGTGGTTTGTTTCATCTTTTGTATTTTTTCAACACTACAACATATAAAAGTACAAAGAAAATGTTTGTTTGTCCATACGACTTTGTTGATTTCTTTATAAATTAATCAGCCGCAGCTTTTCAGAAAAGCTTCTTCAACTTCTGACCACAGGATGCCATCATCAAGCTGGGCCCTTTGCCCCGCCTCCTGAATGACATCAGCATGGCGTTGCGTAACCCTCACCTCCAGAGGCAGCCGAGCCACCAGACGGACCGGGTGCAGGACAGACAGTCGGACAGGCTGCTGTCTCGACCAAGCTTTAACCGAGGAATCTCGTCAGAGTTCCAGAATCTCATGATGAGGGACTTAAACAGGTAGGAACCTTAACAGAAGAAAAGCTACACTTTAAAATGTCCTGGTTGTTCCAGTCACTTTCAGGAGGATAAGTGACTTCAATGATCTTCAAACAGTAAATAAAGGAGCATAATGTTTATGATTTGATGTTACATTATGTTGCTTATTCATACAGGCTTTTATGGAAAGTTTTTGCAGTAAATTGGACCTTGGCTGCTGATAAAGGTTCAGATCAGAACCAGTAACTCTACAGGAAGTGGCCATTTTCTCCATCAGTCTAAAGTCCATTTGGTGACAGCCAACTGATTCCACATTTTTTCCAGGTGTTGAATGAATATTTCCTGTACACTATTAAATATAAATTTGGCTTTGCTGCCTCTTGTTGTCCAGCTCCATAGACATCACTCGTTTGCCTTCCCCTACTTCCACCGGAGGGGTCATGCCATCCCGCGCCCAGCTGAGCTTTCAGGACCGTGATCACCCTCATCGAGCCTCCAAAGACATGTTCTACGTTTCGCGGCCGCCCCTGGCCCGCTCCAGCCCGGCCTACTGCACGAGCAGCTCGGACATCACGGAACCAGACGCTAAGGTGAGTCCGGTCACGCTGAACCAGGGGAATCATCATCCCATCCGCTAGTTTCTCTCTCTGGTTAGTGAGGTTAGTATGACATGCATGTTAGTCATACTCGACAGAGTCTGCCATCGTGTTACTGAGGCTCTAGTTTATCATGACATTTGCTTTTTTCCCACTGATTCACCATGCAACTCATCCTAGCGGTATTTCCTGGGAAATACTTTCAGGCATTCCGATTCCCTGACAGACCTCGTGGTAAAAACACCCGCACCACCCTCACCCATGTCATCCGTGCCCACCTAACATTTATTATCAGGGGGCGCATTAGCCTCTCATATCCCTTACTATTTAGGGTGTCAGTGTAAATAAAAGCGTATCTATGATGGACCTCCAGGATTCCCGAATGAACAGCGTGTCTAACCTGCAGTCGGTGGACATGCTCAACTCCTCCCAGGCCTCCATCGCCGGTATGGGCAGCTTCGGTGGGCTGAGCAGCGGAGGCGGTGGCGGCCTGGGGTCGGGCCTGAGCAGCCAGCTGCGGGCCGGTGGGAGGTTGTCAGCTGGCTCCGGCGGCTCCAGCATGTCAGGCGGCCTCCGGCTGAGCCAGCTGAGCCAGATGGGCACCACCACCGACTCGCTATCCCAGCAGCAGCAACACCAGGCCGCCGCCATGCGCTACCCGCTTTCCTTCCAGAATCCTCTCTTTCATCTGGCGACGGCTGACGGGCCACAACAACAGCTCCACCACCAGCACAGCCGAGCTCAGCCCCCAGCGCCCCTGCTCCTGGCCCCTGACCCCGAGCCCTCTCACCAGGCCTACATCCCACAGTTCGCCCATGGGGGGTTCTCTCGCAGTGAGGATCTGTCCACGCTCAGGACCCGGGATGGTCACCTGGGCCAGCCCAGCATAATCCACTCACACAGCTACAGTGACGACTACAGCAGGGCTGACTACGGACGCAGGCAAATCTCCATGCATATGCAGGTAAAAGTCCTTTAATCAGTGTTTCTAGATGTCTGGTGACATTGTGTAACAGTGCTACCAAGGCTGCTGCTAACAATTGTTTTAGTAATCCTGTTAAATATTTTGGCAATCAATTAATCTGATAAAACAAAATTATAATATTGTGTAGATTATTAATTTAACTACTTAAGCTTATTTTATATTATCTTAGAAATTATACATTAAAGGGGATGTATTATAAGAAATTAACTCTTTTGATATTTACATCATGTTGTAATGTTATTCCCTCGTCAAAAACATACCTGGAGTGTTGCCTTGACTTTTTCATGCAAGTTTGAGAAATCCTTTAATCTCCATGGCAACCATTCAGCTGTGCAACGCATCTGGATGGACCCAGCTCCGCCTTTCAGATGCAGCTCCTTCTCAGAGGTGCAGTTTCTGAGCTTCTGCCTGACAGAGCAGCCATGACTCCCCCACTCAGCTCCTTCAGACTAGCCAGCAGCAATTAGCAAACACTTGGTAGAGCTGCACATCTGCTGAGCAATTATTGGAGCTACTTTCCAGTGCAATGCTGGTATAAATGTTGTTAAAAGATTAATAGAGGAGTAATGTTTTAGAAAGAGCAGGAGGCCCGAATTCATGAAGCTGAAGCTAAAAAAAAATACTTCTAACATCAACATATGAAATCTCAGCCCTTTCTGCTCAACTCAACATCACTACAGTTTAGAGCTGATCTGTTCGTTCATTTTTAGATTAATTGATCAATAAACTGATAGCAAGGGATGCTTTATAGGACATTTTTTTATTTTTACAGAATTTGAACCAGGTGAAGCTGAAACAGCCACCTGAGCAGTTCTGGGTAGAAAAAATGATATTTTTGTACAGCTTTGATTA